CACTAATATCTCATTCTTCATCATGTGCAGCGATACATTCAGTATCGTAGTCACTGTCATATGCAGCAGCAACATACTTTCTGGGACATAAATTGCTTGTCTACGTTGGAAAATCAGTTAAACCTGCGACTCTCAATTTCTTACTCATATCATCTTTATCTGACGACAAAAGTTACATTTTACTCTCTGAAGTGTTAATGGACACAAACTAATTGTGATTCTGTGTACCACAGACAGTTTTATAATATTGAAGCCTGTAGTACTAGAACATGTGCCTTGATTTCTTTCTGTGCTATGTAGAAGAATGTAATTCCTGCGATAATTTCTTGGCCCACTTATATAAAATTCTGTTGTAAAAATGGTGCTTTGTCTGAGTTGGTTGTAAACTAGTGTGGCTACAAGTCACTTTACTGTTTCGCCAATCTCATTGGAAGGACTTCTACCATGTGTAGTAGCAGAGAAATTCCATTCTGTAACTATATGAAAACCTTCTTCATGATAATGTAAGTTCAAGAAGCTTTTACAGTTCTTATTCTATAAACTTGCACCTCACTGAAATAATATCCTTCCTTAAGTGCAGTAAAACAACAAAAACTAGCTTATGAAAGAAAGGACTGTAATTGTTGTATGCTCAAGACAGTCACCAATGACACAGAAACTCACACATTTTACATTCATTCCATTTTCTGATTGTGATGAGCAATACTAAGACTACAGAATGGTGTAGAGTAGCCTGATCACCCTCCCAGTAGCATCCTTCTATGGTACCATTGAAAAATCAAGTAAAATAACAGTTGGAGTATCTAGCAAAATGGTTTCTTTCAACATCTTCAAGTATGAAGCTAATGACTTTGCTGTATAATGGGTTTTGTTTCATCTGCTGTATGGCTGATATTTTCAGTGAATTCTCTATCAGTACTTGTCATGAACACAATTATTATATTACCATCATAAACCTGCTGCTTGTACTGTCTTCTACTTAAAGATCATTAACCTGAAATATTTCTTCATCAACAGTTTCAAGTTGACTCTGTCTCAAGCAATTTTAACATATGTGAAGCATACAAACCTGAGATTCTGTATTATTTCTGCTCTGATAGTGCAGCAGCCAGTAACTTTAAATTCTGATGAATTTCACACACATGCTAATTTCACTCCCCTCAATTCCCCTGATTACGAGTATGCCTACTACAAACTTCTTCCATTTTCTAAAAGGCACCCACACAATAAAAGAAAAAGTAACACAACGCTGTTGGTAGAGTTCTCTGCTGACACAATTCTATATTTTTACTAGCATGTTATGCCTGGCAGTGTTGGAATAATGGCTGGTGTCAAACCTATAACGGATAACAGAGGGGAAAGATGCATTGAACAGTCGTTAATACGTGACCATACCCTATCTGTGTATGTATTAACTAAATGTAATGTACTGTTTGTAGTTTCTAGTTAACTCTGACAGCATGGGTTAGGCATCTGATACAATACGTTAAATCCTACTCATTTGGGCGGGCCAAATGTTGTTGGTATCCCACTTCCGGCTCGGTACTATTGTTTTGTGTTTTACCTTGTTCAGAATGCATTAAAATTCAGTAGGCATAAATTCCGAGACGCCACAATAGTATCATGTCCTACCACTGTTATATGAAGTTAGTATTAAGGTTATGTTCGAAAAACATAGGTTCCTGGCGCTAATTCGATTTCAATAGGAATTGAAAGTTCAGAGTCACTTCACGTACCGTATAATTACGTCGTTTCAAGTATGAGCCAATGGTTGCTCTAACAACTTCATTTCTGGAACTTTTCATATTTACAGACTTATTTCCCACAGTCTGTGTACATGATCAAACGTTTTGCACACTTTCAAATCATCTGTATTTAACAAATGCTTACAATCCACCAATCACAGTCAGGGTAAACAGCTGATTCATTCTTGAAGCGATGTAGGCTTGAATCTATTAACCTTAATGTACTCTATATGGTACTGGGTAACGTATGGCATACAACGCTTGAATCTATTAACCTTAATGTACTCTGTATGGTACTGGGTAACGTATGGCATATTACTAATGACCTACTATTTTTCTAATTTCTGGGTGTAAGAGTATGCTGGCATTTAGCCTTTGGCGCGGTACCTAATCATACGTAACGTTCAAACTCTTGCTGTGCAAATTTGATACAAAACTGGAAATGATAAAATATTCTGGAAGTGGTAACGTAAAACTTTCAAATTTATATTTTCATTTTGTTACATTTCTTTCGACGTTTTCGGTCACATATTTTTGTTTTAAATTAATTTCTTGATACCTGATTACCAGAGTCGTAAGTAGATATAATTTATCTTTGGATGGTAAGGATCTTGTTCTAGGTGTGATCAGGTATAGAGAATATGGTTATGTATTATTGTAGTCTGTATTTTATTAGTGGTGCCTGGCTTGTAAGAATCATGCCAAAAGTTTAACATTAAAAAATATTTGTATACTGAATAAAGGTATTTAATATCATGAACTACCTTTTATTTGAGTTGCCACATATACATTTCTATGTAAGATAAGAATTTGTTTAATGTGCATTTGGTAGTTGTGTAATATTTTTGGATCAGTACTTAATGGCTGTGCGTGTATTTGAAGTAACAGGTGACCGAATTCATAAATAAGTAAGCGGAAAATTATAGTGTAGGTGGCAAAGGATTATAATTGAACATTCTAAATTCTTGCATATGTGAATTGAAGTGTATAAAAACTTAGGATAGGAAAAATAGAAAATACATCAAGTTCCAGTCAGTTTATCAGCTTCCACCCACTGCCTACAAGAACTACCCAGTTTCATTATGACAGTTATCATAGCCCATGTAATTTATTTCATATTCAGTAGTGGTAACTTTGTACTATAGGGATGTCAGAATCAGACGATACAGAAAATAAAATGAAACAAATTGAAGGGCAAAATAAACTTTTTCTGTTTATCTAATTAAATATTTACCAAAACGTGAAAAGAATAAACTTTTTCTGTTTATCTAATTGAATATTTACCAAAACGTGAATTGTTACAGATGGTGCCAAACAAGCATTACCATCATATATTCGAACACAGGGAGATGGAATGGAAAATGAACCTGAGATTAAGAATGATGCTGTACATGTGAAACGAGATAAAAATAGTCTGGGAGACCGGCTGATCTACCGACCTCCAGACTTCAAACACTTTACCGCTACTCCTCCAGTTATTACTGGGAAGATAGTCAATCTGGTTCCAAAGACTGTGACACACACCAAGAAAGACAAGGTTATCTTGGGAAACCTAAAGGGGAAGGAACCCAAGTTTGTTCCGTATGAACCGTACAAAGCTGCAGTAAAACCCATAATTCCATATGAAAAGAAGGGAAAGACAGGGGAGAGGAAAACTTCTCAGAAGTCCATAGATCTAAAAATTGTAGTTACTAATGTGCCAGGTGTTCATGAGGGCACAACAGATCATGAGAATAACAGAGAGACTGCAAATGAGGGACAGATTAACATTGCATTGGAAGAGAGGAAAGCAATGGAGGATGAGATTAAAACCCTGAAAGAAGAAAATGGTCAGTTGGAAAGTCAGTTAAAGTTCCAGGCTCAGGTAAATTACAAGAAAGAACAAAGGTCATAACATCTGTTATGTTTACGTTTGTTTGGAAAATACCTAATTCTCAGTCTTAAACACAGTATATGCAATCTGTGTCATGATTTTACTCATATGTTGAGGATGAGTGTCAGGATGGTACCTTAAAGTAGGCCTTGGCCACTTCTAGCCTCCTGTCCATCAAATCATTCACTTTTTCATAATCTTTCATTTTTGTGAACAACGAATTACCCTTCATATGCCACAATGTGAATGTAGGTAATAAGCTGGCTATTTACCTATTTATAGTTTCCACTATAATGGACATCCAGTATTTTAAAGTTAGAAACAATTATCTAAAAGATTCCTGTCACCACAAAGATATTTGTAGCCTACACAAACAGGACAAGGTCAAATACAGGAAAGGCCCCCTTCTTCATAGACATAACTTCAGAGGTCCATGTGGTCTTGTTGGTGGTACCTTTCAACATATAAAATCTGTAAACACATTCATAATCTTCATTTTTATGAACACATGCACAGACTCACAAATGTGGAAGTATAAATAGCTTCACCAGACTGGAAAGGCAAAATTTTTATCAATTGGTTATCATGTTACTGAACATAAAAGGTGGAAATTTATGTCTAAATTTGTTGCAAAGTGGGATGTAAACATAAACATAGAGCATTACTTTACACGTTCCATTCGGATGGGTCTGATAAAAGGAAAAAAAATTATTTCTTGGAGTAAAGCATGTTGTGTTTTTTCCATAATAACATTTAAACAAAATGGCTCTTGCCACTGGAATTTACTCCAATGCCTTGACAGGTGAATGGGGAGCTCAAGAATCTGCTGGTGGCTGCAATGGGGGAAGATCTCGAGACAAGGGTCCACGTGCTGACAGAAGACAAACTGCAGCTGGCACGCGCCTTACTTAACTCAGCGCAGCGACTTTCAACACACCAAGAGCAGACTGAGTGGTTGGCAGGGCAGTGCGAGGTTTGGAGAAGCAAGTTTCTTGCCAGCAGGTGAGTATTTTGCACTTTTACTTTGAAGGAGCTTTTCTTTCCAAAAACCTTTCTTAATGTTGAGTTTTTAAAAGGCTTATGACTTCATCCATTATCCCACTCTATTAGCCTCTGAAGTTTGGAAACTGACTGTGCCTATTGAAGGCAACAGAGGCAATGTTTGAAATGTAGTCATAAAGAAAATGTAATGCTGGACGAAGTCCAGAAGATTAGTCGTGAAAACCATTTTCAGGTGTTTGTCTCCAAACTATTCCCATTTTCTTCTCCAGATTATTTCACCTCATTCTTTGCCTGATTTTTGTTACACTGCACAAATTGCATAAAATGAAAGCATATTGAGGAAAAAGGCTGACAAAAACATTTAACCCATTTTACAAATCTAAACGTTTCCTACAAAATGGCTGTCTGTACAAAATATTTAATCATAGTGTAAAATATATATGTCATTAATGAAACATTTATCAGTGCAGTGAATATTTAATAAAATGCATGGAAAAATAATTCCAACTGAGAGTCCACTTGAAAAAATGTCTGCGTCTGCAACATAACAGCATACATTTGCTTTTCATTCAACATGCCCTGTTTATTCTCGATCTTCTAGAATAAATCACCATAACATTGCCAGTTTCTTTCATTTCAATATTATGTTATATAAAGTGAAGTTTTTGCGGCGACTGACGTTGATGAAAGACTCTCAGGTTACAAGCCACCTGACGCGGCTTGTGACCCAAGAGTCTTTCGTCAATATTATGTTGTTATAACCCAAGAGACTCATTCATATTCTGCATAAAGTTTGATGGTGGAGGAACTAGCACGCTGGAAGGCAGCTCTGAGCCAGCGAGCTACCGACCTGCAGGAAGCACTGAAGAGAGTTCTGGAGGAGCGAGGCAAGGCCCGGGAGTTTCTTCTCAATACGTACAGGTATGCAATTTTCTAGCATCGATTAAAATTCCCTGTTATATCTGTAATGATGGGCACACAGACATCCTGATGATGCACTGCCCACAGAAATCTGAGCGTCCTGCGAGAGAATTTTGACCACACATACAGCATTACCCGTAGACCTGACGTGGCCTCAACCAATATTCTGGACCTTGCAGCAGGCATCACCCGCCTGAGTGACACTCTGCGGCACATCCTCCTAGGTAGCAGCAGTAGGCAGACCAGGGCAGAACCAGACTTCACTGGGCTGGATATGTCCACTTGCGCTGAGAAAACAGCAGAGAGTGTAAGTGGACTGTAACCCAAAAATACCGTCAGCAGAACAGAGCATTTTGAATTGCTTTAGTCTCTGAATTTTGTTTCATTATGTACCCCTTTATCCTCCTGTTGCTGTGATAAGATTCCTTTTCAGGAAAAGTGAAGTTTATAAAATATCTTAAAATGGCTCATCATAAAAAATGGTATGTTCTTGCACAAAGTATGTACCATACTTTTACTCATAACACTTCTTTAATTGGTATATATTTGATTAAATACAAGAAGGATGTCCTCATGTAAAGTAAAGGGTTGGTCCATACCATTTGAATGAAACTTACATTTGCTCTATTACAACTTACTAGTGCAACCACTGCCAACACCACCAGTCCCCTCCATGCAAAATTTTATCCCCCTTCTTTAAAAAATTAATTTATGGGCTGAAAGTCAATTCAATTGCAGATCCAAAAGTCATACTCTGACACAGTAAACATGCTTTCCAAATGTATTTTTTTGCAAAATAGCATTTCTCGTCTTTTATTTCAGATACAGTTTAATTCCATTTCATTCACCTCATCCATATTATTCCTAACTCTTGTGACAGAAATTTGTTACGTAGATTGAGTACAGTCTTACTGACAAAGCTAATTTGGGTTAGAGTAATGTGTTATTTTTAGGTGTGAGATTTTCATGGTGGTGAAGATGCCTGTTGTGGTTTTTGGTTGTGATGCTATTGTAATCTCATAGGTGGTTGAACCAGAACTGTGATGATGTAGGCAGCACGTTCCTCTGAAACACTGCTGATCATCTGCAGTGCTATACAGTGTCACAATCAGAAGATGATAGTTGACCTATATTACATATTTTGTTTGTTTTTAAAGATACAGCATACCTAAACAAATGTTTCAAGTAGAAGTTGTAAATGTTAATGAATGAGGCCTATATTTTATGTTGAGATTTTTTTAATTTCCCTAGATTTTATTGTTATGTAGGTGTGCACAGCACAAAGATTATATACTTTGGAATTTAAATGGGCAAGAGCTTTATACTACACATCCTGCCCTTTGCTGTTGCAGACAGGTGGATCTGATCTCTCCATTAGATATTCTTTGTGAAGTGAAATCCTGCTTAAGGCCTTTCTGGGGGTCAATGGGCTCAAGGGCTAAACTGAGGAAAATGTTATGTAAAGGAATTTTGACACAGAAAATAAGTTGGGAACATTTAAATTGAGCCCTGCATGAAGGAAAACCATAATTTAAGAACAAATGGTCATTCTACTGTACATAGAACTAATATAACGACATAACACTTCTGTGCAAGATGCTATTTAGTATTTTCTGTTATTGGCTTTGAACATACAGAAAGTTGTGTTGGGGGGGTTTTGACTGTGACAGGAGACAGCAGAGGCACAGAGACCATGCGCACCCTGAGAATAGTGGATGCATTTTTCTGACATTTCTTACCTGTGTTATATCTTTGCAGCTGCTGGCAAACCCAATGCCTCTCTTGCTGTCTGATGCAGCATGCAGTGCTGTCATGGGAGCTGCTGTGGCTGTTAGTGGGCATATGCTTGTCAGACCATCAATACCAGCATGCTGTGGTCACTGCAGTGGAGAAATTAAGCTTGTGTGAATTATCTCAGCCTCCCATTTGACATTGTCATCAGGGTTTCTTCCAGAGGTCATGAACCATATGTCATGGGCTCCTTGGTGTTTTTGAGTACCTGTGTAACTGAGGGAGGGGGGAGTCCAATCAGTGCTAATTCTGTATGGTTTCTTGTATTTTTGTTAGAGTTAGAAATATGGACAAATGTTTCATAATATAATAATGGCCTCTTAATCATAAAAAATTGTTTTTAAATGTACACCAGTTGTGTGTGTGTTGTGCGCGAGCATGCATATAAAAGCATGACACTTGTTTTGGATTGAAATCTCTTTATGGTTGCCCTCATCGAAAGAAGGTTGGTGACCCGTGTTACACCATCATGTGTTGTTAAGACCACACACTGCATTATTCATTTTGTGTTATGTTCAGCCATCACATTATTCTGAACTGTAAAAACAAGGTTAACACAGTAAATCTGTGGGACAGTTAAGTAAATTGGGGAAATATAACACTATAATCCTCAGGCTGGAACCACAGAAATTGAAAACTGGATGTATGTTCCACTGTTCAGACATAGTGCCTTCTTGACTGCATTATTCTGTGAATAATAGTTTGTACTAGTGCCAGTGACCTATTCTCAGTTGTAATTTTCTATACCTTAGCTCTTTAATAAAATACTAATGCCTATAAAAATATCCATTTCAGCTGCTCTGGCTTTATGGCGACTGGCAGTATAAACTAGGTAATGGAATGAAACTAACGTCTGGTTAGTGGAGTGTGTACTCCCCCCCATGCATGCATGCTCCTTGGCCCATGCATGCTACATGTCCAGCCCATCTGAGCCTCCTAAATTTCGCTACCCTCACTATGCTAGGTGACCTGTACAATTCACGCAGCTCCTCGTTATGCAATATTCTAAATTCCCCACTCATTTCATCCCTTCCAAGTTCCAAATATCTTCCTGAGCATCTTGTTTTCAAACACTTTTAATCCACGTTCTGCCTTCAAAGTAAGATCAGAATATTGTTTTAAAATTATTTAAGCAACTTTTGAATGAATTTACTATTGTAATGTGAACACAGACTTGTAAGTCAGAGCATTCCAGATAATCTGACTTTTAATAGTCCTGGCTTTTAATGCTTTATAGAAAAACTACCTTCCCTTATTTTGGTAACATTTAAATGTAATTCAACTCTCTTACATACAAGTAAGAATAATTTTTGTTTGGGACTGGAGAAATAAATTATGTGGCCTTAGAAGGTTCTAAAACCATCACACAGGGGTTGTAGTATCACAGGCCTTTATCATTCCTCAGTCTGCAGAAAACTGCTACTACTGTCATATCATGCACGTGGATTCTGTTATATGTTTACTGACATTTTGAAGGCGCTTGCTACCTCCATCATCAAGACTATGATGAAGGTGGCAGAAAGCACATCTGACATATCGATAAACTACTACCAGACTACACAGTGCAACATCCCAGATGGCAGCCATTTACAATATTAATATTTGACTAGGACAGAAAGGAAAGACCAATTAAAAATATGAAGGAGTCTTGGAGACAATGACATAACGCTGGAACTTCAACTTGACGAGACCAATTAAAAATATGAAGGAGTCTTAGAGACAATGACATAATGCTGGAACTTCAACTTGACATGTGTGAAGACAATGACAAACACCACAGTGAGAACTTCCTCGTTTCTCACGTTTTAAAACTGGTTGGCTTTTATCATCATTTAATAATTAATCTGCAACTTCATCTCTTTTATTTAATAATGCTCATTAATTGTACATCACAAAGTTGTTTATAAATATATTTCAAATGATATTGAAACATTAGTTTTGTCCTGTACTCATATTATTTCTTATTCTTTACTAACTATAATACAAGTCAGGAGGGTTAAAGCATTTGGGGATTTCCCACTCAACCCAAACCAATGGCATCAAATATACAAACATAACAAGTGAATGACCAACTGCAATTTATGTGCCTCACCTGCAGCTGCTGGCAGTGTCATAATATAAGGTGGCGGATGAATGTATCAGCACTTGGTCTGTGTACCTCTGGAGCTGATAAAAAAAGTTGTTTAAAAATAAAAGGGAAAATATGACAAAAATCACTTTCTCTCCAAATCTGAGGACAAGAAGTAGTACCTACAAAGTAAGAACAAGTGATGCAATAGTTACATTCTTCTCTTTCGCACAGGGCCAGTTCTTTATTCTAACCCAAATCTTTATGTTAATAGCATAAATCTAATCTCGCTAACTTCCAAAATAATAAATCAGTGACTAAATGTTAATTGTATGCATTGCCATGAATTTCCTCCATACTAACAGATAATCCACTGAACAGGCAAGGAAAAATTACATTTGTGTTGGTATCTTCAGTCTAGTGTCATCCACTTCCAATGAAAGACATTTTTTTACAAAAAGCAATAACTGGGCTCTGGGGCCCACCCAGCCTCCTCTACAATGGGTACCGGGGTCCTTTCCCGGGGGTAAAGCCGGCCGGGGCGTGATACTGACCACTCCCCCCCCATCTAGTGCCGAGGTCAAGAAAGAGAGGAGCTATACCTCCACTCACCCCAAGCGCCTATATGGCACGTAGCGGGACAAACTTTACTTTATTTTTAGTAACTGACCTATTTATCACCATGAAGCATTTTTCCAGACTGTAAATTATCTTGTAACAACTGTAAGAATTTTAATATCCCTCTAATAAAATATCCTGTACCAAGTCAGTGTTAGAAGCAAGGACAAATTATTACTGCTGCTATGGGTCAAAATTTTCATAAAGTATTACTCTCTTGTGTTATTCATTTACTAAGTTAAGGCCAAGATAATTTTGTATCATGTAAGG